GACAGCTTGTGTTAATCAGGCCCAAAAAAATTAACAGTGGATTAAGCCGCTAATTTCCACAGCCCTCAAGAAATATGACTTTTTTGTCTCTTGCTGAATAATACAACATCTTAGAACCATTTCAGATAGAACGATGAGTAAATTTGAACAAAAAAAATCAGAAATTATGAAATTAATCTCAGTATTTTTTAAAGCAAAAAAAAAAAAAACAATAACATTTCTGAGCTCCTAAAATCAAAAACCTGCTAGAAATAAATCAGAAATTTTGATATTGGCCTCAGAAATTTTCTATCCAAAACATGGAATTTTCAGAGAACCAAAAGGTGAAAACTTGTGAGAAATAGTGAGAAATAAAAATCTGAAATTTTGAGATTAATCGCACAAACTCGGTTCGGTTTGATTCTGACGAGTATCGAAGAAAACCTTGTTTTTTGTTCCCACATTCTAACTGCTGACTTCATATACGTCCACAAGTGGCACGCAGGACAGTCTTTGTGATATATTACCAGCAGAACTCTCTCCAATGGCCATCAGCTATTGCAGACAATAGCTGGTAGCCATTGTCTGCATTCAGCCGTAAAGTTTGTTTTTATTCAAACGTCAGCAGTTTTCAAGTTGTTTTGCTGAGGTAGTGACATCAATTTGTGACATCACACAAATTGATGTCACAAAGAGTGATGCAACACAAAGCTGCACTCTTGAATTCTATGGTCATAACCATTGCAGAAGCAAGTCGAAGGGTTGTCTCCTGACAAGAGATTGAAAACGACAGCTTTTTGAGATAAAAAGGCAAATCCTAGCAAACCAATACAAGAAAACATTGAGCAGTTTTTGGATTTGTAAAGACAAAAAGGATCAAAAATGAGTCAGAGAAGTAAGGTTTCGACTTCTGATTCCGAGAATGAGAAAATACAACGGACTTTAGCTAGAGAGAAAAACACCATTCTGCAGCAGAAGCTAGCCACCTTGCAGCAGGAAACAGCCGCACTGGAGCAGGAAACAGCTGCACTGGAGCAGGAAACAGCTGCACTGGAGCAGGAAACAGCCGCACTGGAGCAGGAGAACATCGCCTTGGAGCAGAAAAGAGTCACTTTGGAGCAGAAAATAGTCGCCTTGGAGCAGAAGAACACTGCCCTGGAGCGAGAGAATACCACCCTGGAACGGGACAACACCACCCTGGAGCGGGACAACACCGCCCTGGAGTGGAAAATTGTCACCCTGGACCGGGAGAACGCCGCCCTGGAGTGGGAGAACACCGCCCTGGAGCAGGAGAACACCGCCCTGGAGCGGGACAACACCGCCATGGAGCAGGACAACACTGCCCTGGAGCGGGACAACACCGCCATGGAGCAGGACAACACTGCCCTGGAGCGGGACAACACTGCCCTGGAGCGGGAAATAGCCACCCTGGAGCAGATGAAAACCGCCCTGGAGCAGAAAAAGCCAAACAGACACTCTCAAGGACTGGGTTGAAAGATGGTACTTCCAAATAAAGAAGTGTGATGAGGGCTCCAAGGTTCATGAATGATTATGAAACCATGGCCCACAGGACTGCGGTGTCATGGGAACTTGAGGCCTTTGAACTCAGGTCTCTTTCGTCACCAGACCGTCAGACTCTAATCTGATGGTCCCTCCAGAGCTTCCTAGCAAGTCCTGTTGGTCTCCAGCTGACCTCCAGGGTCTCCAGGTCTTCNATGTTTTCATTACCCAAACAAACTTCACAAGGTATTTACTTTTTGTATCATTCAAATGTTTTATTGAACACACAATTTACAAACAGATAAAAACACAACTAAATCTTGATCAACACTTAATCTCATCGCTGATCGCCTCAGCGATATAAGACTAACATTTAAAGAAACACAAGTACATCATCAGATCATCTCGTTTCCATTTTTGCTAATAAATATCACACAGGAAATCCAGTGTCTAAAACCATTTAGCATCCAACAGCCTCATCTAAAAACTAACACTGGTTCTCTGACATGGCTACAGCCTTTTTCTGACTCAAACTAATGTACAGAAAGGCAAAAAGCTCCACAAATCCATAATTCTTACTGCAACATTTTACAATTTATATTTACAGTAAACTTTGTTTTGTCAGGATTATTTTACAGACATTTTCAAGACTCCAATATGGATCAGCAATAATATTTACTCCAAATTTTACTTCCTTCATTGGCAGGTTTGTGTGAAAAACTTCTGTTTTTTGCACATTTGTGAACTTTGTTGACAGCTTGTGCATTAATCAGGCCCAAAAAAATTAACGGTGGATTAACCTGCTAATTTTCACAGCCCTCAAGAAATATGACTTTTTTAGTATCTTGCTGAATAATACAACATCTTAGAGCCATTGCAGATAGAACGATGAGTAAATTTTAACAAAAAAAGCTGAAAATTTGAAATTAATCTCAGAATTTTTTGAAGATGAAAATAACATTTTTGAGCCCCTAAAATCAAAAAATTGCCAGAAATAAATAAGAAATTTTGATATTGGCCTCAGAAATGTTCTATATGAAACGTGGAAATTTCGGAGATCCAAAAGGCTAAAACTTGTGAGAAATGAAAATCTGGATTTTTTTTTTTTTTTTTTGATTAATCGCACAAACTTGGTTCGATTTAATTCTGACGATTATCGAAGAAAAACTTGTTGTTTTTTTTTGTGCTCACATTCTAACAGCTGACCTCATATACGTCCACGTCGGTCTTACTGGTCATTTCAGGACACGAGTGGCACGCAGGACAGACGGCTTGCTCCTGGCGGGACGGGCAAGTCGGACATCTCGGTCGCTTGAAGCTGAACAACAACGCGCCGCCTCCCAGCACCTGTAAACAAGAACCCAGCCACCCGAAGTAGAGCGACCCGGCTGGACTCAGGCTGAGCTGGGGGAACTTGGGGTTGTTGAGTCCTTGACTGGGATCCACCCCCAGTCTCCTGAGGTTGTGGGTGTAAACCCCCAACCCGGTCAGGCTCAGAAGGCCGGCGGCCACCACCAGGAGTCCGCCTGAAGCCGCCACCCTCCTCAGAGGCAGATCTGTCCAGCATCGGACCCCGATGCAAGCCAGGACAATTCCGATGCCGCACAGGAACAAGGACGTAAGCACCAGGCCTTGCACCATCCGAACCCTGGCGTCTCTCTGGTACGGGCCGGCTATGGGCCAGCACTGTTTCAGCTCGGACTGCTCCACCTGTAAGCAGCTCTCCCACAGGCCGTCGGAGCGCAACAGGAGCAGGGCCTCCACCGAGCCGGACCTGACACCCACACCGTGACCCTTTGCTCCGGACCGAAGGAGAGATCCCGACCCCCCGATGTTCAGGCGAGCCTGTCCCTCCCGCCACTGAGGGGTGATGGCGGCAGTGAAGACAAGGACAAGTCCCAGAGGAGCGAAGACAATCCCCATCACCATGGAGACTGGAGTTTGCATCATTTGTGCTAAAGCTGATTTTCTTTTAAGTCTCTCAAGAGGTGTAACTAAATGATGAAAAAAGATTAAACAAGTGCTGGGAATGTAAAGTGAATTTCCCCCAAAACACTTAAAACAGACGATCTGGTTGTTAGCTCACTGGGATGCAGCTTGATTGGGATCTCCAGCAGAAATGTGAGAAACGACTCTGAAAAAGGAAAACAATGAAATCATGATTTGAGCTGAAAGCAGATGTTTACATACAGGGCATTAGAACAGGGCCATCAAACATTCAAATATCAGATTAATCAAAGGGTTGCTGTGAATTAATAATTAATTGCTAAATAATGAACCTAGTTAATGAGTTCTAAATGTTTTATTAGGGCTGATGTAGAACAGGGGATCATTACTCATGTCTTTCCTTTTGGTGTTTGTTCATTCTTTTTATTTGTTCAGAGCTGCATGTAAAATTCTGCTTTGCTACATTATTTTGTCAACAACAGTAAAATAATTTTGGGGTTTTTAGTACACGTAGAGTGTAAATTAGCACAGCATTAAAGTGTTAATTTTCACAGCCCTGAAAAAATCACAACCCTTTCGATGTCTTTTGCTGAGTCAGGTGGTTGGAAGATTGAATTTTGCACTAACTATCATGACGGTTGTTCTCAGAAGCCCCTGTCAGCCTCATAAAACAGTGCAGATTGGTTTAGTGCACACCAGGACTCGGCTGATTCAACAGCGATTCGATCTGACAGCCGCAGGCGCAGGAGGCAGGAAAAGAACTGGAGGTACCAAGAAACAAAAGAAAGAAACCAGAAGAAGAGAAAATAAAATTAAGGGGAAGGAAGCAACTGCTAACTCGTTTGCAAACAGTCTGATCTAATATTAGCAGCAGTTGCATCAAAGTAAAAGCAGCACTTAATTTTAACGACATGGATTAATTGCTACCATAATAACTTGACCCTTGCATGTCATGGATCTCACAGTAAAACAATTGTATCCATTTCCATTAACTGAATGGATTCTCATGATTGCAAAATGTCTGAAAAAGGGAACAAAACATCGTTAATACTTAAAAATCTCCCCATTATTTTACAGCAGATAAAACTGATCAAAGGAAACAATTTGACCTATTGTAGGTGAATTTCAGTGAGAATGATTGCCTTGTAGGGATTATTTGTTAAAAAACAGGGGTGTATTGTAATCATTACATAATTATTTAATTTAATGCATTAACTAAAAAAATCTTAGGGAGTGGCATGGATCCAAAGGCGCCCAACCCGAATGGGATTATGACAGAAAGCCGAATACTTCTTACAGTAAGACAGTAAGTACAATAGATGACTTTTGTGCTTTAGGCATGACCTTAAAAATACTCTGCTGCATCGCAAACATGTTTATTGAACCTTTTAGCATCAATACAACATAATAACAGATCAGTCTTAGCAGCAGATCCTTCATCTGCAGGCAAAATTACAGTGGAGAGTAGATTTTGGTTTGAGCAATGTAGGAAGGAGATAAAGTTATGATTTTAAAATGAATAGTGCAAAGGTTGTGAGAGAAGTTTTTATTTAGCCAAAGATCAAACACAAGGTCAAATCCAGCCCACAGCTGTTCATGTGGCTCTCTAGTCTCTAACTTCATTATAACAGGTTGTAGTATTTTTACACTGATTATTTTATCAGAAATCCAACCTGTTTTAATTTGGCTAATTAATAATAATGATTGGTTACTTCATAGTTAATGGTTTCATCCTTGCTCGCATGATTGGTGCAGGCTTCTGGATACTGACACACTCTCCTACAGAACCTGTTTCCTTCCTCCTGGCTGAACATTTTTGTGGTGTTTACAGTTTGAACAGATGAAGGTGGTACCGTCAGGTAACTGGAAATCACACCCAAACATGAATCAGAGTTATGAAAATCAAACATTTCCTTCCTGATGTCCTGATTTTCTCCTGATGTCACTCACTACGAAGCAGAGTATTTAAAATACATCCACCTTTGACCTTTGTCACATGCTCACACAGTCATGACATCATCATGTGGACTTTCCATCTGGACTTTCCGCTATTGTTTAAACACATCGTAACAGTGGTATGTGTTCTCATTTTGACTGAAGTGATAAAAGCAAAGTATCTCTTTCATTATTCTGGCATTTAGCAAATATAAATAAAAATTAATTGTATGATTTAACATCAGAAAGTAATACAGTATAAATTAAATTATTCTGTAATCAATGTCATGCGCACCACAAACACCACCAGCACAATGTTTAGTAAAATAAATGGCTTGTCTCATACCTCTTCATGAAAACTCTGCTTTATTTACCTGCAGGTTCTTCATTCTAAGAGTCAGAGTGGGAGAGAAAGATTGAGTTAGACAAAGACGATAGAAAATGAGAAGTGGAGACACTGAAGAGGATCAAAAACGAGCAGGGAGAGAAAACAAAGGGACCACTTGGCTTCAGTGCTCCTGTTATGGACCGAAAAAAAAGGTCGATGCCTGAATCTGTTGCTAGGATACAATAACCTGGGCAGTCTCAATGTGACAGCCGTGTATGTGGAGCTGTAATAATGAGACGACCTTGCTGGATCTCAGTCTACGTTGCCGTGTGTGCGAGCTCACGTCCCGGCCGTGTTTCTGCATGCATGCACAGGAGGGAGCTGTTTTCTAAAAGTCTGACTCCTGAGAACCAGGCGTGACCTTGGAGGAAATCTGTTGGTTTAGTAATCACGTCAGGTCTGAGTTCGAGTTAACCTCCAGACAAGGCAACCTGACACTGCAGACGTGGTCAATATGGTTTTATGTCAAACAAATGCAGTTATCAGAAATATTGAGACAACAGGAAGGAGCAGATTCACACTGGAAGGGCTTTGTGGGTTTCTGCTGAGACCAAGCAGTAGGCTGCAGATGTTCCTCTAAACTATTTACTGTAAAGTTGGCTTCATAGATAAGGAAATATATTGCTCAGAGTTTAACACGAAGCCCTTCACCGATGTTTTAAAGTTTAAGATTCATCACTCTGTAGCTACGCAGGCTGTGCAGCGAAAACATTTCAGTGTAACAATAGCAGTCATAAAATACAAGACAAAGCATAAACTGACTAAACATC